CTTTTTTTTTTTTTTTTTTTTTTTTTTTTTTTTTAATGTTTTGTTATAAGGGATCTAACTTGGGTCCTTGAGCTTTCGAGGCAGGTGATAGAACCACTGGGCTAAATCCCCGGCAGAGGCTATCTGGATAGAAAATTAATAGAGTGTTCCTGCTCCATTGGAGGATTATTATATTCAATTACAAAATTCATGAGGATTATATTCAAGTACAAAACAAATGACTGTTGTTATTACTATAATGAGCACCTATCACTTTGCATCTCCAAGACTTGTTCTAGGACATGGTAGTGAGAGAAATATGTGCTTGAAAATAAAAGTTAATCTTATAAGGAATAAATTTTAAAACAACTTGCATCTCAAAATCATCATCGTTTAGGTTTATAATGAAAGCACAACCTATACTTAATCTAGATTTTGTTTGGTACTTTTTCCACTGTTTGTAGCAAACATTTATGTACTGAACTGTGCATTTTTCTTATTTCATGGGCAGACTCTGTATCTATACAGCTAAAGTCTGTGTGAAACCCTTAGTTAGCAGAAGCAATGTTGGATGGTGAATTGGAACGATAGTAATGTTTCCACTGGAATAATTTGCTTACACAACAAATGTGGTATCAGATCCCCTACCTGGCCTCAGTTATTGTCTTTTGCCTAATGATACGCTTACTTAACATGCATTTTGTGGTAAGTAAAAGATATAAATTCTATAAATTCTTGAGCCCCAATCTTGTTAAAATAATGTATGTGTGTGGTGTGTGTGTGTGTGTAGGCTTGCATATAAATAATATGGAGAAGGCCCATACTTTTTATAACAATCCTCAAAAACCTACATAAAAGGACATATTTAGAAATATTTAATTAAGTTCTAAAATAAATGATACAAAATACAGACCATGTATTTTTCTGCTCATCATTACGTCCAAAGGTACTATATGATCCATCTTGGTGTTTATAAGACATCTGCTTCTGATATCCTAGAATAAGGAAGAGATACTATCATTTTTCAATTTAAAAATTATCTAGAACAAAAATTCAGTTAATTGCATATTTGTGTTTATGAGTAGATCAGTGAATATACACCTGTAGAAAAATATGTTTGTGAACTTAAGCAAAACAGCTGAGGTTCAGATATTAAACTGAGGTGAACAAGTAAGGCTTTTAAATTTATGCTTTACCTGCGGTCAGGTACCCAACAGCCTTGGATTTTATCTCTTCTGTCAGTTGTTGAGTCTGATTCAGATAGTCCAAGATGTAAATATTGGAAGCGAACAGGGCCATATTTTGCTCCCCACAACCAAAAGGCATCTGGAGGAAATCCTGTAAGTTTTGCATGGCAGAACCGAGAATGTCTCCTGCAAAGACAATCAAGTCAATTCGGACTTTATAAAAACTGAAGATAAATGAGCTTGTGCTCACGACCTCTTTCTCATAGATATGCAGGAGAACTATTTTTATATTATTGGACTCTCTCTTTTTTCTACTTGTTGGAGCCTCTCCATAAAATGCTGGAGATGTATTATCCAACGCATCACAGCCAAGAACAGAAGAGCTAAATGCTCATGGGAACCAAAAATCCTGAGAGCTCCCATGATGAAGTAGAAACTCCAGGCCAGTGATAAATCAAAAGGGAGCAAATTTGGGTGCAAATAGACATTTGGGAAATGTTTACCATGTATCAGATGCTGTCCTGAGCGCTTTTCCCATGCTAATTCATTCAGTACTTAGAACAATACTATAAATTATCACTACTCCTCCCATCTCCAGGGAACGGAGACTTGCAGAGGTTTAAACATTTTCCAACGCCATTCAAAAAAGATGCAGCTAAAACATGGAAGCAGCCTAATTGCTCATCAACTGGAGACTGGATAAAGAAAATGTGTGTGTGTGTGTGTGTGTGTGTACACAAAATGGAGCACTACTCAGCCACAAAGAATGAGAAATTAATAAGAACCAAGATGGATTATGTAAAGGTGCAAATTTCCCATGATGATTGTAATTATAGTGTATACTTTAAACGTACCAATAAAATTAACTGATTAAAAAAAAACAAAAAAGAATGAGAAATTAGAGGCATTTATAGCTAAATGGATGCATGTTGAGGTGATACTCTTAAGTGAAATAAATAGGACACATATTTGTAAATACCAAATAGTTTCTCTGGTGTTAGAAACTGAAAGTGTAAATAAGATTAAAAGGTATAATGTGAAATAGGAAGAAAAGGTGCAAAGGGAAGGGGAAGTGGGAGAGGTAGGGGCATGGAAAGAGGGGAATGGAATTAATATGAGAAAAAGAAACAAAGTCTTCATAGATAGGGAAGGGTTGGTGGGGCTGAAGTGAGGGCAGGGGAATGGGGAAAAAATAAGAACCAGGATGGATTATGTAAAGGTGCAGATCTCCAATGGTCAATGTCATTATATTATATACCTAAAATACACCAATAAAATTTTTTTAAAAAGATGGAGCAGAATTAGGAATCAAGTTCAGGTAATCTGGTTTCAGAGATCCTGGACCTCCCTACTTCCCACCCACTTCCAATAACTGACACTTATGTAGCATTATTACATATCTAGCTGCATGCTAGCATCTAGATTTAATTTTTATAACAATCCCAAGAAGTAATATTACTAGGTATTAGGAAAAGAGGCACAGAAAGGCTGAGAAACTTGTCTAAAGCTAGTTGTTGACAGATTACTGAGGCTCTAGTATCAAGGTTCTACAAATTAAGAGTAAGGAACTTTGTATCATTTTGGTCATTACCTGTTAGCTGTGTGTGGAGTGTTGTTTACTCCTACCTGAGTACTGCAGCTCCATTTAACAGGAGTTTGATATCACTATTAACTGGCTCAGTATGATATGCTCTAGAAATCTCTGGTTTCTGGGAAAATATCAGAACTTTCCTTACCAAGGTGGTCTTGCTCTTATGAGACACCAGGCAGAAAGTCAGTGACTGGACTATATTTTATGTGCTAGAATAAAAATGATCTTTAGAAAAGGAAGAGTCAGAAAGCTAGAGTGTCTTGGAAGCTCTGGCACTGAGTTCTTCCTGTCGTTGGGCATCAACCTCAGTGAACAAGTTCCAAGGGCAGACATGGAGTCCAGAGAGATGATGAGACCAACAAGAAGAATCATGGTAGAAATAGATGTGAGTTTCCCTCTTCCTCCAAGCCCATGTGTGACTCTTCTATAACCCTACTGTAGACTCACCAAGAACAGTCCAGTAGGCCCTGAGGGAGTCTTTCACCAGATTTTCTGGTAAAGTGAGCTCTACTGGTTGAGATACTGTTGATCCTAGGAAACAGAAAAATAAATTAATTTAGAACCCTAATCTTAAAATCATAGTTTTGACTTTCGGTAATAATTTATCTTCTTGATTACTAAATCAGTGTCTTATTGAGCATTCCAAATGGTAATCAGAAAAAAAAGGTCAAAAGGATTTCTTTTGGTTTTTTGAGACAGGGTCTCACTATGTAGTTGAGACTGACCTGGAACTCACTATGTAGACCAGGCTGGTCTCGAACTCACAGTGATCCTTCTGCCTCAGCCTCCTAAGGGCTGGGATTACAGGCTTGTGCCACCATGCCTGGCCTCAAAAGGATTTCTTTAATTACAACTAATCGAATTTGCTTAAAATTTTTTTCATAGTCAATTATGTTTCAACATATGATAAAAACCTTAACTTTGCAAAGCAAATTACAATTTGCCATGTACTTTCACACATGCTATTTAATTAGATATTTACAAACTAACTTATGGGGCATGTAAAGACTAGACATGCCCCTTGACCCCTCAGAAGAGAAGGTTCAGGCCAAAAGAACATAAGGGATTTGGGATGGCACACAAGTCAAAACAATGAAACACAGAATCTGAACATAGGTTTTATGAACCCAGGATCAGGGTGCTCCCCACACTGGTCCACAGTGTGTCCCTTATGGTGATAAAATACTGGAAAATGAATGGAGACCTATGGCTTCTCTGCCTAGAGGAGACTTTAACATTTCTAACATTCAAATAAAGAAACAAATAGCTGCCATTTAAAAATAATTAGATGATAACAACATTCTGTTGTGTCCTGGTATAATTTGTAAGGCAATCTAGTGATTGTATTTGGGGGAACAGAAAGATTTTTAGGCAAGAGCTGTGGGTCACAGCTCTGGATAGTTGGGGGACCACTCAGGATGTGGCAGCTCAAAAAAGTCCGCCATTATTTGGCTCCCAGGTGGGGGACAAGAGAAGGTTCTGGAAGTCATGCATATTAAACAGAGAAGCTTCTACTTTGGCAGTGGACTTTTGGCAGAACGCTTTAAATACTTATGATTATTATAATGACCAAATCAAGGCTTAGATGGGGAGAAGTAAGAGGTAGAGACGAATTGAATAAAAATCAAGGATGCTCAGAGTTCTGAATAGGGGAATAGGAAAATGGAAAAATCTAAAAGTTTAAATTTACATTGGTGTGTAGGATGTTCAGATTTTATTATTTGAAAGTAATTTAATCTTTTCCAGTAGTCACATCTCTGAGAAGAAAACATAATTAAATTTTCAAACAAAGACAATGCTGCAATTTTAGCAAGACTGTAAAAATGTCTTCTTACCATTGGTGCAAATAAACAAGCCCTGTGTCATCTCCTTTTTAATACCTTCAGGCTAATTGTTGGGAGAAGAGAAGAGAGTAGTCATAATCAGTCTTACATTAAGTAAATTCAGAATATTTTTATTAAGAATTACACTTAAATAGAACAACAATCTTCCAAAAATTATTATAGGTAATAATAATTCATGAGTACATTAATTTTAAGATCAAAGATAATGCTGAAAAGTGATTTTATGTTCTGTAAGTTGAACATTTTTAAAGCTTCAGGCAACGGAAATCTTTCAAGCTCCAAAATCCTATTATTCTATTTCAAGAGTATTATGCATTTTATTTCAAAGTTTCTTCCCACAGTGTGGAGTAGATGTCTGTCCCTGGCCTTCTTTTCTAAATATTTAATTGAAATAATTTATAGTATCTTTTTAAAGATTAATTTTAATAGTACATTTAAGGTATACAAAATAATGACATTCATTGTTGGAAATTTGTACCTTTACATAATCAGTCTTGGTTCTTATTTTTTTCCCCATCCCCTGCCTTCCCTTCAACCGCTCCCTTCCTCCCTCCTTGTCTACAAAGGCTTTGCTTCCATTATTTTTTATTTTCTCATCTTAATTCCATTCCCTTCTTTCCTTTTCCCTACCCCTCCCAATATATTGTATCTTTGAATAAGTGGATCACTGCTATTTCTATGAACCCTAAAAGGGATGCTTAACACTTCTTTACAAAGATAAATATTTTGAAGGACAAACATTTTTCCTCCACGTCTTCAATTTTTAAAATTAATGTGTGTTGATCCTGCATACTAATGCAATTCGTGTGTTATTTCTATGTATGCATACACTGTTCGCTGTTTAAATCCATCCTCCCCACCACAATTCCCAGTCCCTTGTAGATACTTTCAAGTGTACTTTCTGTAGCTTCTACATAGGATAGAGAACATGTGGTACGTGACTTTCTGTCTCTGGATCATTTCACAGAAAATAATGCCCTCCAGTTCCATCCATTTTGCTCCAATGAAAGGATTATGTTCTTTATGGTCGAATAACAATCCATTGTGTATTATACCACATTTCTCTATCCATGTATCTGCTGATGGGCAACTAGACCGGTTCTTTATCTTAGCTATTGTGAATACTCTGTAATAGATATTAATGTGGATAAATATTACTCTGAGGGCCTACCTCTACCAACAATGGTTTGACCAGTGTATCCCTCCAGCCAATGTCCTGAGCCTGGGATGGCCCATGCTGATAACCACTGTTCTGCAGGGTTTCAGATGTGACAGTGATGTTGATTACACCTGAAATAGCAAAACTGTAAGTGACAAAGTTATCAGAATGGAGGGCTGGAGACTTAGCTCAGTGGTGCCGCCACCTGCCTTGTAAGTGCAAGGACCCGAGTTTGATCCCCAATACCAAACAAACAAACAAACAAAAAACCCCACCAAATAAACAAACGAAAAGTTATCAGAATGGAGATCCAAGGAAGTGTGATCATTTTTGACTCTATGTAGAGGTAAATTGTTAAAATAATTGAAATGTTTTAGAACAAAGAATTGAGTGTTACAGTAAAGATTAAAAATATTAATCCTTGAATTGGTTCAGAATTTGATTCCAACTTCCCAACTCTGGACCCAGGTAGATTCACTGGATTGTAAAAGAGAAAGTAAGGTAATAGGAATGGGAGAATGGACCACTGGTATACTGAGAAGTGGGAAAATGGTGATAGCAGAGGAATAGTGTAGTAAAGCTCTTAGGAGAACTTCCGAATGAATGTAAACACACGTGGTAATGGCAAATCTTACCCAGCTTACGTGGGGTAACCAGCCAAGTGAAAGACTTTTTCTCATTGCTCCTTGTATAATCATTTTCATCACTGACTGACAGAAATCTGGCTTCATACAGGTTAGATGCTTTCAGTTCAGTATTAATCTGTGAAGCCCAGACAAGAAAAGAGAAAGAAGATTTAAACATTTCCATACAGAAATATAATACATCCACATATGTTTGCAAAATTAGAGAGTAAATTTTCCACTTTTCACATTTTCTGCTGTGGGAAAAATGATTTCTAAACCATGGGAAATTATCAATATCCTTTTACTGAATCATAATAATCTGATCATTCACATATACTATTTTAAAAAAGCAGTCAATAGGTTATTGACGTGCTCAGCAATGCATTTATTTAGAGACTTACAGCAAAATAAGCATGTATTTTGACAAATCTGGGTTGATCAATTTATCTTACATTTTTATAAGCTAAAGTTCTCTTTTTCTTATCTATAAACTGAAGCCAGTGTCATCTACAGCTTACAATAACTGGGTATGTTATATAAATAACACACAAAACATCTCAAACAGTGCATTCCAGCCCAGGTTTAAAAATGAAAACTTTACTAACAAATAAGTAACACACACTTTCTTGATTATTAAAAATGCTGTTATTTTTCCTAAAAATGCTTATTATTCAATGTGGTGCCCTGACAAACTCAATAGATTTGCATGCTTTATTTTTATTTTTATTTTTACATTTTGTGGGTGCTGCAATTGAACTCTGAGCCTTCTACATGCTCAATAATGTTCCATCACTGAGGTAAACCTCAGGCCCTTTTATTTTTTCAGTAAAGGTAAAAGTATGTCAACCATGTACTTTACGTCGCATGTTGGCTACGTCGGGCTATAACTACTGTTTACTGGTGTTGACGCGTACCTGGATGTCACTAAAGGGTTAGGTTTGGGGATCATACTATCGGAAAGTCATATATAAAGAGAAAGGCTAATACATCGTATCAAGGGCCATATGTTTACTATAGGTACAGTTGACATTTATTGTTTAGATAAAAGTTATATAGAAAGGAAACAAATCCAGTGCATATTTATAGTGGATTTTGCAGGGTTCGCTGTTTTTATTATAGAAGGTTCATTGTTTATATTATCATATTAAGAGATGAACTCAAGTTTAAACTTCTGGGCTTTTTATGCTATAAAACTGATAGATAGCCATCCAGCTGTCGAAAGTTGATGACCACTAGGAGGTGGTATAGGTAGTCTGTATATCCTCAGGAAATCCAAAGAAGAAAGACAAACAGTTAAAAACCCTAACATCCAGTATAGCTATTTAATAAGTCCTTCTGCTTTAGATAGGTTTCATATATAAAATTCAGATATTCCCACCTGTCCTCCTCTCACACACCTGGAGAAAAGTTAACTTAGATCATAAAGCTGTCTTACACTCTTTTCTCTTCAGCCAGCCACCAAGATATGCATTTATTTATTTAAAATTAATTTTATTGGGGAACAATACAATGACACTCATCTTTGGAAATTTGCAGCTTTACATAATCCATCTTGGTTCTTATTTCTTCCCCATTCCCCTGCTTTCTCTTCAACCCCTCCACCCCTTCCTATCTACAAAGACTTTGTTGCCAGTTTTCTTTTTCTCATATTAATTCCATTCCCTTCTTTCCTTTCCCTACCCTCACCAATTCCCCTTCCCCTTTGCACTTTTTCTTCCTATTTCACATTATCTATTATGCCTTTTAGTCCTTATTTACACGTTCAGTTTCTCACACTAGAGAAACTATTCTGTATTTACACGTATGTGTCTAATTTATTTCACTTCAGAGTATCACCTCAATATGCATCCATTTAGCTATAAATGTCTCTAGCTTTTCATTCCTTATGGTTGAGTAGTACTCCATTTTATAAAAAAATACACATTTTCTTTATCCAGTCTCCCAGTATTGTTCCTAAGCCCCACTGAATGGTTGGGCAAAGCCGGCAATATCTTCAAAAACTTAGAAAAGCCAAGTTCAACTGAAATTTAAAAATAACGTATACAGGCAATATGGTATTTACTAAGAAGACTCCATTCAGTACCTGAATACTTCTGTTGAGGTAGTTGAAGACATTGGCTTTCAGAACAAATGATTCTCCTTGAACCACAGAGTAGGGTAAAGTGACTTCCACAAAGAAGGGCTGAAAGGTCGTCAGGGAGATGGTTGGGGAGATGCCAAATCCAACTTTGTCACTCAGGCAGAATCCACTGGCCTTCCACTGTGTGATGGTATCGGGAACCGTAAGACTCAAGTTGGCGACTCCTGAGGAGCTGCAGGAAGAGAACCAGACAACGCTGGAGACCAGAGCCTTCACCATACGATGCAATGAGACCATCCACTGGCTTTACAGCATTTTCTTCCTTCAACACTATTAAACAAATGCATTTATTTATAGCACATTTGTTCAACTTTGCTGATAGTTTTAGAAATAGAGCCCCATATATAGTTTTCAAGTTTAAAATGTGCAAATTAGCGTCATACTTGAATTTTCAGCACCTATTTAGAAATTCATTTTTCTCAATCTCACTTTGTTCTTCCTCATTTTCACGATCTCTTCCTCTTTTGCTTTTTTTCACATTTTGTTTCCTCTGTCCTCTCTCCCTTAGAGCCATATATGCTTGATTAGTATTATATAGCAATAAACAAAATTTCAGGCCATTTTATAGTCTCCCACTCAACTTTCTTACCAACAAAATCAAGTTCTTAATAAAAATAAAATGACAATAAAAAAGTAATGGAGTAAGAAATGCAAATAAGGAAGACAAAAAAGGAGGTTGTAAAAATGAAAAGAGAACATAACAGAAACCTATTAGAGGCTCTGCAGAATGTTTTTTACACATTTTTTCAATTTTGAACACATTTTCTTTGAGAAGGCTGACAAATTTTATGAATATTTTTTTCTCAGGAAAATAGAAAAAAAAAAAAAAAGAAATGCAGAAAAACAATGACAACAGCAATAGCAATAATGACTCACTCAGTTGTGATCAGATTCCAGATCCAGGTTTCAGGAAACGATGTCCTCAGAGTATCTTGTACATATCCACCCAAAGCTGCAGGACCTGAACCTGATATTACCTTTGAGGATTCAGCTAAAGAAGAAAATATGAAATGTTTCCATACAAAGACATTAAAAAGTGAGGTGATATACATGCTAATTACCCTGATGGGGTCATTCTACAATGTATTCACGTACCTAAACGTCACACGGTGGCCAGAGATACATACAGTCATTTTTGTTAATCAAAAAGAAAACATAACTTCGAAAATAAAAGTGTATCTGGAGAAAGGGGAAAAATAACTAGCTACTCCATATTCATAAGATTAAACTTAATTTCTTAGTCAATGAAATTATGTTTTGAGGACAATATTTAATAATAGTAGCCATTGTCTACTGATTTATTGCTATATATCTCAGTATTGAAAGCATTTTTATGTATATTATGCATTCAGTCCTCATAGTAAACTTTGACAAAGTTTATGACCCCACTTGCAGATATGTCTTATGTTTGTAGAATAATCTGTTAATAGTTTACAAATGCTAATTGACAAGTTAGAAGAACATGAATTATTCATCCCTGCACTCAATTATCATTGCTATTTTGTCATGTTAAACTTAGAAATGCACTGCAAAAGCAATATGGAGATACGCAAAGTCAGTTTAAGACAAGAAGTAAAAAAGCAAATCGACCTTTGACTTTCACCACTAATCCTCGCTTTATCTCCCTGAATATCTTAACAATATTACGCTCATTTTAATCTTTTTCTCATCACTCAATTTCCCATTTAGCTTCTAATGTAACTTCCACAGATTGTTATTTTGTTGTTCATCTTTCATAGTCTTTCAAGTGCAATACCGTTAGGGGGCTTGTAATTCTTCCTTGTGAGAATGTATTCAGTGGGAGATTTGGTGGATATTTCAGGATTTGGCTGTAGGTCTGCAGTCACATCCAGGCTGATTCTGTGATTCCAGCCCATTTCATGTGTTGGTGGTTTGTTTCCTGTCTCAGTCACAGTAGGATTTGTAGCTTCAGCACTTACTGTTCCCCGAGCAGCCCACACGGCAGCACCAGCTAGAGCTGTCAGTCACTTACTTCAGGAATAACCCTGTACACTGGTTTGTGTTTATTTCTTTTGGCTACTTTTAGCCCACATTACATTTAAGCAAACATAAAATGACATGGATCTGTAATGTCTACTATATAAATACTTAAATATGAGCTGTCCTTTTTTCCTGGAGAACTGCTTCTTTTACTCACTAACATTCTGTTTTGTTTATATTGTGGGTATGTATACGTACCTCACAAATACACAACTTTATTTTATGTGTTTATTTGACACACATGCAAATTATATTGCTATCTTTCTTGCTTTTCCCCTAAAAATTTATTCTTAATATTTTTTTTCAGCTTTAATTGAGTTTATTGGTACATTTTAGGGATCCAGTACAGTTACATTCATTGCTGGGATCTTGTACCTCCACACTTATTCTTAATATTTTTTTTCAGCTTTAATTGAGTTTATTGGTACATTTTAGGGATCCAGTACAGTTACATTCATTGCTGGGATCTTGTACCTCCACACTTATTCTTAATATTTACTCGTGTTCTTAGTGCTGCAGAATATTCCATCACATCTGTTCACCACACAGCATTTATTCTGTCTTTGAATAACGATCACCTGGGTTGACTCAGGGGACAGCAATGTGCTAGACAACTCATAACATGCATGTCCTCTTACAGACTTGTGCCAAAATGTCTCATTGCTATGGTAGAAGATATCTATCTATTATCATATTAATTTAAGCTCTTCTAGACTCCATCCATCGGCTGTACCATGTTGTTCTCTCTGTCTACGGCGTGCTCTATTTTGTTTCCTTTAGATTATTACTACTATTTTACCTTTCATTCTTTTCTTTTGCTATTTGTATGCTAACCAGTTTCTTGATGTTCTTTTCATTTTGCTTGATTACCAGTGAAGCCAAGTATCTCTTCACGTAGTTTTTATCTCTTTGGTTGCCCTTCTTCATATCATGTCATCATATTTTTCACCTTTCTTAAAATTTTCCCAGATTATTTAGGTCTCTGATTAAAAGTTACCTCTTCATGGAGATTTTCTCTGAAAATTCTGTTTTCAACAGAATCAACATGGTCTGCATTTACCTTGTTTTAGTTTCTTTACAGCACTCCTCAGAGAGAGAGAGAAAGCACAACATAATAAAGTAACTCGTTTGGGACCCGAATGCCTGGTTTATAACCCCATCCCTGTCATTCACTGTCTGTGGCATTGGACAAGTTATTAAACCTCCCTAGCCTTCATTTTTCCTCATCGGTAAATTAGAGAGGATAGTTTCTAATCTATAGGCTATGATGAATAAATTGGTTGACATTTGAAAATGATTAGAACCTCACCTGGCACCTGGCAACCATTCAGGAAATATTAACTCTCAGAGAAGTCATTACCATCTGAAATTATGCTATTTACTTATTGTCAGCATCCCAAATTCAATGTAAACTTCACATTTCTAAGATTTTCCTGCCTTATTTTTTTTCCTTTCTAATGGTGGCGGTCTCATGCTTATTAGAGGTAGGGAAATAACAGAAGGGTAGGGGAAAGTGGGCACTGCCTAGTGAGTTTTGAGCCAAATGAAAGGGAGGAAAAATATAAATACAAATACAAATACCCCATACAGTGTGCATAGGGATGACAGCCATTGCCTGCCTTATTCTTACTGTGTTTCTAACATTTGATAGGACAAGCACACTGAATGGATTAAAGAACAAGATAAAAGAGAACATCACTCTCCCCTCTTTCACCACATCCATTTACATGAGTTATGAAATCATAATGGTCAGCTGCCCTTCGCATACAAAACTCACTTGAAGAAGCTACGTCATAGATTTCCTGATATTTGAGATCCTTGCACAGCACTGGCTTCCGGAGATGAGAGTTGGTGAAAACCTTCAATCCGATTGCCTTTCAAGATAAAACCAGTTTTGATCACACAACAGCAGAGAGTAACAGTTCGGAGCGGTTCTGTGTCAACCTTTCATTTTGCTCTCCTATTTGTGTCCACAACTAGATCTAGATCACATATTTAGAGGTACTTCATGGCTGTTTTCTGAGGTCTATGTTTTCATTTTCCTTTGTCAGTTTCTTTGATTTAATGATTTTTTTCCTATTTTCTTTCTAGCTATTGATGAAAACCTTTAAATGAGAGGGAAGAATCTCCAGCTCATATCACACTCCACTGTCTAATCACTACATTGAATTTGGCATTTTTGCTGGACTAGGGATAACATCTAACTTGTAAGCACTTAAAAAAATGTATACTTTAATACAGTCAAATTTTAATTCAGGGGTAGACATAGGAACAAATTGTTTGGGCATTTATTCTAGATAGTATAAAATGCATACAACGCTCAGTGAAACTGATAATTCTCTCAAATATTAGTTCTGTGTTTTTTTTTTTTTTTTTTTTTTGGTACTGGGGATTGAACTTGGGACCTTGCACTTGCAAGGCAGGCAGCACATCCACTGAACTAAATCTCCAACCCTTATATATTAGTTCTTTAGTTTATATGGTAACATTATTAACTCTTTAATAATTCTATGATGTTATAGACTTATTAGTTCTCTTTCTAACATAATAGTCTTTGAGATGTTAGTTCTCAGATATTAATAGATATTATTAATTATAATTTAGTGCTTTGAGAATTGTTGCATTAAAAACTCACATGACAATGCCTTTACTGTTTTAATTCCAACTTGTTTATATATTCTCATACATATTCGTCATTTCAGGAACTAGTTATGTTACCTTCACGAGGTCATAAGCATCATCTCCAAAGTCAGCCCAGATAGGTGTGTAATAAATCCCTTTATAGAGGACTTGTTCATTCTGGAGACATGGCTCTTTGTGGCCATCTTCTAAGTCAAGTCCTCTGAAGTAGTAGCCATATAGATCCTTGTAATATAGCTGATTATATACCTAAATGATAGAAAGGAATCAAGTGTATTTTAAAAGAAAGCAATTCCTTCTTTTTCTCTCACAACCAGTATATAAATAAATGTATACTAGGAAAGAATGACATCTTGAAGCTGCAAAGAGTCTGAAATATTATTCAACCAGTTACGTAATTGCCGGATTAGTCATTTTCAAATCAACAAAGATACGTAAGATACTGGATTTTAATAACTTTGACATCAAGGAACTCCTTGGTATTCCTTGATGACTCATTCAAAGACATTATCAGCAAAATGTACTAAATCTTGCTGTGCTTAAGATTATTTATTTATCAAAACGGATATTTATTAATTCTGTTTCACATGAGAATAAAATTAGATAGCATATATGATATCAGAATATTCAGTAGAGCATTGTGAAATGGTAGACATTCAGCAAACATTGTGTACTTTTAGAAGGGGTAAAAACAAAATGTAAAACTCATTTTAAAAAAAAGTAGTAATGCTCACTTTTAGAATAAAGATAGCTGTACAACCAGTAACGATTTGTCTAACATAAACTATTTTTATTCCCAAAATTCTGGCCAATTTCTTTGTTCCTAGCTTAGTCGAGCTCTTCCATTTTTCTTTAAAGGCAAAGACACACATGTCGACTGCTGGGGATAAATCAAGGTGATCGGATCACTCACACTGTCGGACAGCTGGCGCCGATCCCTCAGCAGAAGCACACTTTTATCTAAAGCCAGGAGCGCGCAGAGAGAGTTTGAAGCAGCCGAGACCTGCAGACTGACGCTGGATCCCGGGGAGCTCTTTTCTTGAGAAAAATTTAAGCTGACCTGAAAAGGAAAAATAAACAAAAGTGTGAAGAGATTGAAAACCAGATGGGAGAATAACCTTTCAGATTACCCTTTACAGGCTTCTGTGTGATTTAGTGTCTTACTGAATCCACCACTTAAAAGGACGGGGAAGACATCCCAAGTGAGTGCTACAATCTGTTTTTTAAGTCATCCAGCATATTAACTTTCCCACTGTAGCTTTCTTTTATTTCCCATTTGGCAACACAGAAAAATAGAGGTACAAGCCCAACACATTTCGAAATTCTCCTTAGTTTTCTAATAAATTGAACTCACCTAAAAAAAATTACTTTTTCTCTTTTCCTCACCTTATTTTTGAAGCATTTCTCAATTTGGAACCTGGTGGTGTCTGCAACCATTTCTCCTCCAGGATGCAAGCCATAAACCAACATAACTGCAGAGGGTGCCAACTCGGAGCTGACCTCTACAGGAATGGAAAATACGCCCTTCGTGGCTGTGAATGAAAGGCCAAGAAGACGCCATGCTGAGATTGCTGATGGTCTCTCCTCCGGATTCTTAGCTACCTGCATCTCCTGCCACGAAGACCCAACCCCCAAATTTAATATATGAAGTGTTTAAAGTTTTCAGTTTTAATTCTTCTTGTGTGAAAGTAAGACCATGTAACTGTCTTTCTTAAAAGAGAAAGGGAAGGAAGAAGGAGTCTCTCTTATAATAATGTTTTGAATTTAATTAGCACATTGTTAAGGGACTTTTCTTTTTGGTTTGGCATTGTACCTTCTATTCATATGTCTTTATATATTGTCCAGGGATGGTTGGAGGTAGCAAAAGTCCTAAAAAGCAAAGGCTAGGACTTCTAAAAAAATGTAAAATATACTTCAGTTAAAGCATTACTTTTACACTAAATCCTGTGCTAAAGGTTTTAGACTCACCACCGTTCTTGATCTCAATTTTCTGTTGCCCATGAAGAACGATTACACCTTTTGAAATCACCTAGGAGAATAAAGATATGATAAAGTTTAGGGACTAGAATAAAAGGTTCATTTAACTATAAACTTAGGTGGTTCATCTGTTCTGTAGTTTGAAAACACAATAAAAATGTTTGCTCTTGTACTCTCAGTACCTGTCAATGAGCATGGGACCTTTAATTATATTTAAGAGAATTTAGGAGTCATAGATACATTTGCTGTAAAACAAGTTAATGGTCTATATTACAGATCAACTTTCTGTGAAAAATATGTTTTTTGTTCATATTTTAAGGCATTAAAACATCCCAATTTATTTACCGTCTCCAGGGGGCAGGCAGGAGACTTGAAATTTGTTAAGAAAGTTACTGTGGTTTTAAGCTAAGATTTTGAATACTATTTAAAAAGGTACTGAGACTTGGAGAAACCGTAAAATTTTCATAAAGTCAGGCAGCCTGAAATTGGTAGAGCAAGTAACCTTACTCTGGTTAGTGTTTCTCAGATTGCTGAAATAACTTTGATTCTCTGCAAAGCCAACCTTGGTAATTAATTCAGTGAAAAGAAACAAAAACCAAAAACCAAAAAACCAAACAGAACCCCAACTAGTTGCAAAATATTGTATTTGGTACTAGAACATTACAGAGACAGGAAGCTCATCGTGAATGAGATTTCCAGGCACTGCTCTGAGGACATTTAGATGTTGACTCATTGACTTCTGAAAATAAGAAGATAGCTCTTCTCACAGACCAGGAGGCCCATAGAAGGACTTATAATCACCCAGGCACACAGTTACGCTGACCCTTTAAAAGCGGAACAATGTAACTCGTTAGGCCTCCATTCATTTAGGCCAGAACATTGGACTGAACGTCCCCTCTGGGGTGTGTGACAAGCCAGGCAAATGAACACAATGACGGATCCACAAGAGCCACTGCTCAGGGTCACAGAGGGTTGAGAATAACAGGGGAGACAGGCGACTTCCAAACAACCACGTACAAAAAGACAGAAGCACAGAATCTGATAAGGGAAAATGAACCCAGTAAGCCCATTATGGAAAATAGATGTGGAATTATCTGAGGGCTTAAAATTTTCATTTCCTGTTAGGAATGATGAGTAGGAATCCACTAGAAAAACAGGATGCAGGCAGTTCGGGGAGCAGTGGGAGAAAAGGGGAAGAAGATTTTGTGCATCCACGTAACTTGTGGAAGAAGAGGAGAGGCCCCCAAGTCTGCAGGGCAGAAGTGTGCAGCACCATAGTGCAGAATGAGCCAGGCAGGCTTTGTGGCTGCAGAGCAGACCGAGAAAAGGAGTTTGTGGTTTATTTTCTGAGACTTAGCAAGTTATCAGATGCATTTCCATTAGGGGATCGAAATAATCCTGACTGCTTTTGAGAAAGATCACTCTAGATTCCTAGATTTGAGAAGGAAGCAAAGAAAGAGAAGTAAAGAAAGAAAACCCTTTCTCTCCTTCTATTAGGAAACACATGTAGCCTTGAGCTATCATTAAGAGGGAAACCAGGGGTGGTAATTATAAAAGCGTCATCAGAGCAGAGAAAGCTCAGTTGCACAGTAAGATGAGCAAGGGTGTAGCAGTGTGGAAGGAGGAGATGAAATCAGGGAGGTGTCCGAGTGTCTCTAGAAAGACTAAGATGCTCAGCTCTTCATTCAGGAGTGTGCCGCTCCTCATCCACTAGTATGGCAACGTCAGAGCCATTGAAATGCAGCAGAATTTCTGTGCTATTTGGTAGAGAACCACTTCTCCGGGCTTCTCTTTGGTCCCCAGGAGGACAATGAGACTGCTGGGCTGTGGCCCCCAAGTTTCTGCTTCTCTAGGTTGATGATGGAGCTGGGGCATTTGTAGTTCTCACCAGTGCCAGGTGATCCTAACATTCCCAGCCCGGGGACCACACCCCGAGAAGCACCATCGTCACGCTGTGACTAGTTCACAACTCACTCTGCTGTGTCACCCTAGGGGCCACACGTGTTTCATCTGTTGTACGTATGTCATTCTACCTTACTCAGTTGAACACACCATTGCCACACGTCCTAAGGTAGTATCAGGGGTATGAAAATCATTTTATAATTGCTTTTGACTGAATTAACCCATGTTTCAGTAATTTTATACCATCTTCATCTGTTGTGATGAAGGACTGTGTATCCCTCTAGATGAACCTGCAGTAACACACATTACAAGAAATACTAATGTTTAATGTCTTTCACTTGCCAGGAACTGGGCTTTATGCATATTAGTTCATTTAATTCTTTTAACAACTATAATTAGGCCCCAAATTTTAGGTTCCCTAGAGCTTAATGGATTTAAAAAAGTACCACACAGAATGGCGATTCGATTTGAGCTATGTGCAAATGGGAGCAGCTGGTGAGAAGGGGGAGCTGGTTAGGGTTATGGCAGCAAATACCTGCCTTGTTAGCTTTCTTTCTGTTTTTGGATAGGAATTTCAGTTATAAAATTTTATGTAACGTGCATACCTTGACATTTTTCATGACGTGGGTAAGAAGATTTACATTAAATTCAAAGAAACTTGAAAGTCAAGAAACAATTTTGGGTGTGGAGGGATAGTTTCACTTCTCACCAAGTAGTTGAAGCTCACTGTGTAGCTTCTATCTTCCAGGTCTTCCGTGTGGAGGACATAGTGCACGCTCACTTGCTTCTGCTGGCTGCATCTCAGTTCTTCCCTCTCGGGGACAATCTTTAGGAAGCTATTGGTTCTGGAGTAAAACCGGCGGACAAAGTACTCTGGTTTAGGGTATTCAGGCAGCACCCAGCCACGGGCCTGGCAGTTCTCATTGGCCTTGTAGGTGGCCTAGGCAGAGAATCAAATTTGCAGTTATACTTGGATGAAGGCAGAGAATATGTGAAAGAATATTTGATAGGATGGTCTTATAGTGCTGTTCCATCCCTACAGGAAAATTTCAAGACCACTCTTCATGAACTCTAACCCTGTTCACAGCCACTCTCTAGTTATAAAGACTGCTATATGGGTTTTATATTTATTGTTTATTCAAGTCTTAAATCAATAATATATTAAATATTTTCTATGGTCTGTACCGAAATTATAACTTCAATAGCATGCATGTGTATGTCATTCTCTGTCACTCTCACACTAAGGACCTGTGAATGCAGAAGGTGACTGTATAGTAACAAGGAGTTCTGGTGCAACATGAAAAAGGTTTTGTGAACCACAGCAAAGTGATTCCTCTACACATGGTCATTCACCGTCAACAATACCCAAGTCTGAGGAGATCCTTTGAAAATATTTTAGAATTTCTGGTCTCCAACAGTTATGGAGAGTAGGTTAGCTTAGCACTGAAGGTACTCAGAGAAGTCCTTTGCATCATTCCACGGAAACAGATTATAACGTTTTGCAAGTATTTCTGTGTGTGGAGATGCAGTTGTCTTTCTAGTTCCACAGTGAGAGTCCAGTGTTGTTTTCCTTCATTGTTTCTCCTTCACACACTTCAATATGTATTTCATCCTTCGTTTTTACAGAATTAATAGTGCAATTCTCTCCTTTATTTTAATGACTAATGCTTTAATATCTAACTGTTCACACTCTAGGTTCACAGCACATTTTCACTTCTGTTCCATGCATATAACTTAGCTTAGACCTAGACCTTGACTAGCCAAGGCCTTTTCTTTGCTTGCTTTTCTCTACTTGCCTGTGGGAGACTCACCTTCAAGGTGATGTTAGGGTGCGTGATCTTAGACGTGTCCAGGGAGAACTGAGCGATGCCATGTGTATCTGTGGTGTAGTTGCCCACAATTTTGTCCTTTAAGTGCAACTGGATAACTTCATTTGGAATGGGAGAGTCATCGGGATGAAGCAGTTTAATCTGCACAGGGGAAGAGAACACATTGCTGAAGTAGTTAGGAAATTTGAAAATCACTTTTTGATGGACTCTGCCACACTCTGTTGTGAACATTTCTCCCTGGCTGTGTGCATTTCCTGCATGATTTCAGCTACTCCTGTCGAGTGTGTAACACACGCCATGAGTACGTTGGTGACTCTAAACTATTTCTTCTACACTAAAGATGTTTGGAAACTAAGGGCCATATATACATAACTGAATCCGAAATATTTTTTTTTCAGTCACTGACATAAAATAGCCCAGGGTATCCTAGAGATTTTCTTTTCCTACTGTTCTTAATTGCTGATAAAATGTTATTTGCTTCCAGTTTATCATATTCATTCATTTTGATTGTTGTTGCTTTATGTGAATTTCTCGTAATATAGTTGCCTCCTATCTACTCTCTTCTGTATTGTTTCAGTCCTTTCTCTATATTGGAGTAGAACCAAATTTTCTAAGATACAAAACTTATTTTGCTCCCTGATATGTTTTAGTAATTACTCTGGTAAGCCATGGTTATTTGCTAAATAACCAGTGCAAGCAACATTAGCCTTACAAAAGCCCTTCAGAAATGGGCACATTTACTGTCCTGCCAATGCAGACACCAGTATCCATGCCAGTCTGAAGTATTTTAAGAGCACCTTTGTTAATTACTAAGGGAATAATACTGAAAAATTTAACTTAATTTAAAGCTTTAGTTTAGTGTAAAAATATCTAGGTAAGTAAACTAACAGTACTGATTAGGAAAGAATACAAAATACAGGGAAGGCAGGGGAATGGGGAAAAACTAACCAAGATAGATTATGAAAAGGTACAAATTTCCAATGATGAATGTCATTACATTGCATTACCTAAAATGTACCAATAAACTTAATGAAAAAAAGAATACAAAATATGAACAAGTCTGCAATCATCTCTACTATTCAATCTAGAAATCTATGCTAACTGAAAAAAAATCAAACTAATACACAAGATCTTCAGTAGCGTAAGTACAGAAGGAAGGCTCAAAACATGATTTTTGTATAAAATGCTCTTTATACGGAATAAAGCTTTATATAGCACCAAAAAGCTAAAGGAAACAAACAAGAGCCCAAGATATCATCTGGAGTAATGACACTGTCCGAACATAGACTGCTTATCCCTTCAGTCTAGAGAAAGTTGTTTTATATTCAAAGAGTTTAATTATTTTTTGGTGTAACATTCCTCAACTTTATGTTTTAAGTAACAAAACATGGGATGTATCAAGCAAAAATATATACAGAGGAAGATGCAAAAGTTAGCATGCAATAAAAAAATTACTTAACAAGTATAACTATCATGTATCAAATCATCAATTTGCCAAGACCAAACTTCCACCTAAATTTATTTGTAAAATGGCCATTACTAGAATTTCTTTCAAGTCCTTGCAATGATTCTGTTACAAGATCACTTGAGAACCATTGCTGTGTGAGATCTAGTCTAGGCATCACCTCTATAGTTTTTTATCCGTGTTCTTGGGTCAATCTAAATACCACTTTCTCAGGAAAGCTTTCTGTGACCATTTAGTCCAGAGCTCAGCAAACACTTTCTGCGACTATCTATGTGGTATTTTAGCCTTTGTGGGGCCACATATGGTGTCTGCCTCATATTCATCTTTGATTTTTAAAAATAATCATTAAAATGGTTTAGCTATTCCTAGCTTCCGGCCTGCGCACAAGCAGTCTCTGCTGGATTTTGTATGAGAAGTGGATGTGTTCATCTCTGCTTTAGACCATGTCCAAGGGCATCAATCTCACTCACACAGCATTTATCGTAACTACAATGGAATTCCTGTAAAATTGTTTGTCTAATACCTGCTTCTCTGTTAGACGATGATCACCAGGAGGGTAGGGAAAGTGGTGTCTGTCCCATGCTAATGCTAATTCTGATGCAGACTGTATAATTTATTTCCCAGTCTTGGACATTTCTAGCGTGGAATGGGCCACTATTGAGAGCCACAACTTGATAAAAGGCATAAACCAAAACAGAGGTGTGAAACCAGTGGGACAGTACTTCACAGTGCTTGGCACAGAGTTTTTAACATCGTTTCTTAGGAAACAGCTGTTGAATTGATGAATAAATAAGTAAATGAAAACATGAATGAGGGTAGATGAATGAACGAGAGACAAAGGAATACGTGAAGGAATTACTGCTTCTCTTACTTGGCCTGAGTAAGGGAGTCCTTGTCTGTAGAATGGATCCATATTCTCAAAACTCATCTTCACCATCGATGTGTCTATGAATATGTAGCTGTTTTCTGTGAGCGCAACACCTGCAGTAAATTGTTATCAGGAAAATACCATCAAACCACAACCAAACAGAGATACAGAAAAAATAAGCCTCAAAAACTCCCCTTTTGGTACAAATGCTTCCTTTTCCTGAGCCATTTTGGATAATTAATTGGGCTTCTGCAGACATCTCTTTATAAAGAAAAATAAATAAAGATGAAAACATCCAAATAACTGGTCATTCTCAACTGCTGTTCTTGCTGTCCACACATTATCCAATTTATCATTCCAACATTATTAATTTTCCATGGTTCTTAAATCATTTGTTGAAAATCATTTAAGTCTCTGCTCAAGACATGCATTTAGAAAGGTAACATACATATATCACCAGAAATTTACAAGTTTAAAGACTAACACAAATTATCAAACATCCCAAAGGAAACTAAATTTAATAATTTAAACTATTTTTTACAAGTTTTTAAAACTTTTACATTGTAATTTATATTAATATAGTTTGGATTATGCATGTAGATAAATATATACATTAATTTGTTATTTGTATATATAAATATATGTAATTTGATATTATGTTTTAAACATTGTTTTTGACCTTTCTATAATCTTATATTTTAATGGCTGCCTACTATATCCCTCTTATAAATGTATATGTTATCATTCAGTAAGGTATTCTTGCATTGTTTATTTTGTTCAATTTGACAAATAGTTATCTTCTAAATGCTTATTAAATAATTTGCTTTGGATGTCAAGACAGGCACTATCAAAACTTCAAATATTGATAAAAACATTGGCATTTAATATCTCATGAAGAGAAATTCTGCTGAAATATCACATGCATGAGTTAAACAAAGCCTATCATGACAAAAAGCAAATGGTCGGAATAGAAAAGTACAATTCAAGAAATAGAATTTGTCTTTCTCTGTGTGGGAAAGAGAGACGATAGATCAGAGATTCACAAGAAATTAGTCATTACAAAGACATCCCTGGTGATGAGGTATTTCCTTAGGTATTTCTGGTAAAATACTCTCTCAAAACTATATTCTGTTTCCGTTGTTCTCATTCTATGCACCTCTTAGAATTTTATAATCACTATGTATATTTCTCAGTTATATTTATTTGTGGAATGGTTAAGGAAAGGGAATATATCATTATCTAAACAAAGTCCTATTGTAAACCAATAAATTAATATTATGACTTCTGGTTTAGTCTCACTTGAATCTAATATTTATCTACCCAACCACAGGCATTTAATAAGTTTTAGTTAAAGAAACACTCAGATTTTGGACCTGAGAAGGCCACGTCATATCCTAGGGAGAAAGGAACATTGTGCGATTGACCGCTAGGTGGCTTCAGCAGACAGGGCTGTCTGCGGGGTCTGCCCGCCTAGGGAGCGTCACCTTTTTCGCTCTCTGTGAGGACAGCTTGCACTTCAAGGTAACTCAGGTACCCTTCCCGATTGAACTCGAAAGCATCCGTGCTAATAAGCTGGGACATGCAGCCATCTTTCCCCAGCTGAAATGTTAATAACAATAAAAAAGAAGTTATATTTAAAAAATACCATAGGGGAAGGGTAGGGGAAAGGTAATAAGAGAAAAGGGGGAAAAATACATGAGAAAATGAAAAAATGGAAATTAAGTACTTGTAAATAGGGATGGATGAAGTGGGTGAAGGCAGGGCAGGGATAAAGGGAAAAAATGAGAACCAAGACCTGTCATGTAAAGGTACGAGATTCCAATGATGAATGTAACTGTACTGTATACCTAAAATGTACCAATAAACTCAATAAGGAAAAAAATAAAAATCACCATAGGAAGTAATAGTTTTAGAGAAAATGTGTAACCTTTCAGAAGCAATTTTAAGGGGACTGCTTTACCTAAATATGAATTTTATAAAATCATCCGTTATACTTCTGTAATTCAAACTTTCAATTCACATATTTACTCCAAAAGTTTGAATTTTTGATAAGTATTAACTCTTACAATACTGATTTAAAACAGAGTCTTCATTGAGCCATTACTCCGTGGATCCACAGCATGAGCGCTCCGATCTCCAGTCACATTCATTCCCACATGATATTTGCATGTTTGCTGGTTTTCACCATATTTATTTTTCAGGTATCCAATATGCTTAGCATAACACCTAATACTTGCTAACCATTTCCTAAGTACCAGAAATGATTACTATTATTAAATAGTTGCTGTTATTTTTGCTTACTGTCCAAACGTAATTTTAAAATTTAAGAACTGGAAGACTCATATTTTTACCCAAAGCCTCCTGTAGGGGGACTAGAGAATATGGCCTGGTGGTAGAGCATTTGTTTAGCCCATGCTGGAGGTGCTGTGTTTGACTGCCTCCCGCAACATCAAATCTTCTTTGGAGAAGGTAGAAGTGTATCCCTGTGACTGTGTGTGTGAAAATGGAATCACACTGTTCACGAGGTAGGGATGGCAGCCAGCCATCTAAATAACCTAAATATTAGCTTGATTAAAAGTGGCATGAATAGGGCCAGGGATTTAGCTCCGTGGTTCTGCTGCCTGCCTCTCAAGTACAAGGGCTCGAGTTTGGTTCCCAGTACCCCTTCCCAAAAAAAGAGAAAAGTGGCATGAATGTTACTGAAGTTATTGCTGTATCTTAGACCTGTGTTTTTGTACCTATTTTCTGATTCTGGTTCTCAAAGCTTCAAAGTGAATCTTTGCAGGAAATCCTTTCCCTTATAAGTTTGAAAAAAATTAAAACTGAGGATTTGAGGTTAAGAGAATCTTATTTATGATTGTGCAGATACACCTCTTACCTGAACAGTAACATTTTTACAGATTGATTTGAGATGTGTGCAATCACCAGCAAAAGTAGATTTTCTGCACACTCTGAGATACACGTTGCCCTCCATAGGTTTGCCATAGGTGTACCTGGCAGCAGAATACAACAGTACAATTACAGAGCTCACTGTCACCACTAGTCCGCATAAGCTGTTTTTGAGATCTTTGTATCTAAAACCATTCAACATTTAAATAGCCTTATTTTCTGGAGGAAATTTAAACAATAATCCTGACTAACCTGAGTTGAAGGCTCTAAGCCAAGATAGATTTTTTTTAAAAGGTTGAAATAAACAACATGCAGAATGCATAAATCTGTCATTAAAATACAATATATAAGCATTTTTTGGCTTTTTGGCTAAGATCATGTGTAAAACAATATAAACAAAAATATTAACAGTAAAAGAAACGAACAGTCATTGGCAAGTTTTAGGGGAATATTTTTTCTTTTTTAAGTTTCTTTTTTATTTGAAACTATACTATAATAAGCATATATTATTTTATTATTTTATTTTTAAAACATAAAGTATATTTATTTGTAATTATACAGAAGTACATAAATGTATTCACATTGTTAAAAATCCAAATAATAGAAAAGGCAAAGCAGCTACATTTTATGATAATTTTTTGATTTTATTTTCCAAATTACTTATTCTCTCTTCAGCCTCATCCATTTTCTAGCCAGCCATTCTACCTATTTTTCCTTTAGCAATCAATATGCTGAATTCTTATGTCTTTGATGATGATGATGATGATGATGATGATGATGATGATGATGATGATGATGATGATTTGTACCGGGGATCAAACTCAGGACCTTATGCTTGTGAGGCAGGAGCAGTGCCACTGGGCTAAATCCCCAGCCCAGTTTTTGATTATTTTTAAAGATGCCCCACTGACTCATATAAAAATATACACATTTCATTTATTTTAAATTTGTGTCCTGGATGATCTTCACCTGTTTTCTCTTGTACGAACTGCTTACTACTTTGATTATAAATTGTTAGAATCTTCAAAAATTCACTGATTTATGTCTATGTTTTATGGCTTCCAGTTGGCTTGTCCCCAAGTGCCTTTAATGGTTTCTTTCAATACAACCTCAGCAAAAGTATCAGGATTTGATCCACAACCCAAACTAGTAGGGTAGTATACAGATATGTGGGCTCTGGGGATTACAGTTCTCAAAGATATTTCTACCTCAACTGGCAATTTCCTGCCTCTGCAACCCAGGTAGGGTGAGGCTACTCAGACCCTGGAGGTGAAAACTGACAGGGCCTTCATGAAGTTAGCTGTGTTCCTTCTACTCTTCTATGTCATTAGAAACTTACAGCCTAAAGCAAACACAGCCTGAAACTCTCTGTGTAATTAGAAATTACCAGGGCACTTTAAAAACTTTAATCATCCCAAATGAGAAGGAAAATGTGCTTGAGATTTGACCTGCATCTGGGGAAAGAATTAATTGTCACATTAGGTAAAAGGAGATGAAGCTTTATGTCTGCACTCTAATCTCTTGGCCAGTTACATGAGCCCTGCTTGTGCTGTTCAGCTTGGCCAAGAGGAAGGAGAAGGCAGCTGGAGCCATTGGCTGCTGCCTGTTCATCAGTGGAGCACTTGTGCCTGCCCTGAAATCTTGTCAGCCCTTGATGTCCACTCAACACACTGGAGCTACCAGGATCCAGTTCCAGCTCTTAAACCAGTTCCGTATGATCCAGTTGGAGCTACGGCTTTCTTCTTTAGTTATGTGTTATACAAAGAATGCATCAAGAACTCAGAATAAACACGCGATACCATCCAATGGGAATGCTCTGTGTTTACGTTCCGAGATTCAGGGGCCACTAATTGCATGCATTATGGCTAGGGAAGATGAGGGGCTGAACTTTTAAATTTATTATATTTTAATTAGTTGAACTATAAGTTGCCACCTGTGGGCAGTCAGTGGCTTCTGCATTAGATGGTATAAAAGTGTTCTCTTATGATGTAAGGCAGTAACCAGTAGTCAAACTATCACCTAAAACCATATGTTATAACATATATTCAAATGATTACTGATGAATGGTAAGAAGCCGTAAAATCAGCAATGTAAGTTCATAATTTCCTTTCCTCTTTCCTTCTATACAATTCCATCTTGCTTCTTTTTTACCTGTCTTTATTCCTCTTGTAATATTGATTTATGAATATACATACATGTATATGTTTTTGGAACAGGGTCTTGCTCTGTAGTTCAGGCTGGCCTTGAACTCACTATATAGTCCAGACTGGCCTCAAACACAGTGCAATCCTCCTGCCTCAGCCTTCCAAGTGCTGGAATTACAGGCGTGTACAGGCTGGATACACCATTCTGTTGTTTATAATTTTAACTTACGAGGCGCAGGCATTAACTTTGAATTCGGAGTCCACAACTAAGACAGTGTCTGGTGCATCCAAAGTCAGTTGAAATTTGGGTAGCACTGTCAATAAAAAGAAAAATGGTATCTTATTAACCTAAATACACTCATACAAAGCAAATATTTTCTTCTTACAAATCATGCACATTTGTTAGTTTGTGCTATTAAAAATTAGGACACTGAGGTGTATAGAAGCTGGATTGGGGATTGGATAGAAAAATAGAGATTTGAATTTCAAAGTCATAACTTCTGCTCATGGAGTGTGTGCCTCAGGCTCTTCGCTGTAAAACAGGAATAATGATGGCACCAGACTTAAATGGGGACTTTATGGGCTAATATCAGCGGAACACCTCCTCACACAGCTAACGCTCCGTTCCTTTTACAAAGAGCGCTTTGAAGCATACACGTGACATAAACCGAGTGTGAACACATCACAAACTGTCACATAAACTCAATTCCAGACACCACCGGGGAAGATAAAATAGGTGTCTTCGGTTAACAGGGAACTGTGTGACAACTGTGAACCACTAACTGGAGTATGAACATAAGAATAAGTGAAGAATCCCAAAGTAATAGCAGAGGGGAAAGAAAGAGGCAAGGAAAAGACATATATTTACCAATGGGCTATTTAGTAAACTTGTCCTTAAAACATGGGGACTTTCTAAAGTTTCTCTTATGAGCAGGTGGCATTTCCAAAGCTGGATTTACCATATTCTTCCACTGAGAAGGAGTGGAATGCCTTCCTCTTAGACGCCGTCTCCACGGTTATTGTGTACCAGCCCAGGATGGGCTCTGGGATTAACTGGAATGAGCGCTGCACGATGCCAGTCTCAGACTTCTCATTCACCCACCGCTGGATGTGATTGCCGTGCGGGTCCTGAGAGTGAATGAAAGTTATCTTGTTGATTTTTGTTGTTGTTGTTCATCACTGAAAATTCAGCAAGTAGCTGAGGATCTAACCTAGTGAGTCACAGCACAAGTGTATAGTCTGCTTCTTGGGGAACCGATACTGGGCTTACAGTACAAGGTTCAGTATATTTAGAAATGTGTTTTCCGACAATAACATAAGCCAATCCTTCATTTCTTAAGGGTGGGCCATAGTCTATCCCCACTGTGTACTTACTATTTTATCCCCAGGGCATAAAATAATAAGTACACACTTATGGACATTCAGTAAGTCAATTTTAAGTGAAATGAAATTATTCGTTCCTGTTGTCAGTTTTAATTGGTGGATGCTAATATAAATCAAAGGAGAAAAATATTATCAATTATTATTGTTATTATTATTTTGGTACTGGGGATCAAACTCAGGACCTTGCACTTGCGAGGCAGGTGGGGGCACCACTGAGCTAAATCCCTGGCCCAGAAAAAAAATTATTTTTATTCTCTTGGGGATTGGCCACATAAATACATAACTCTGCGACAAGTTAAGTAGATACTCTTTCTCTGTAAGCTGTCTTCAGATTTTGAGGTTTAAGGTCATGCTTAAAAACAGAAAAAAATTCTTCAACCAGCAGTTATCTTACCATGAGGGTGATCATCGGATACTGAAATAAAAATAAAAAAAGAATGTTAATATATGAGTGTAAATGTGAATTATAAGTCTATCACTGAATAAAGAAACACGTCTGTGACACGTGATATGATCTGCCTGTACTTCTTTTCTTTTTTTTTTTTTTAATTGAGTTTATTGGTACATTTAGGGATACAGTACAGTTACATTCATTGTTGGGATCATGTACCTTTACATGGCAAGTCTTGATTCTCATTTTTTCCCCCTT